CAAAGAACTTGGTGGAAATGGTCCTGGAAATTAGCAATGAATTACGGATTTTGTACAGTGACAATGGCTTGGTAAGTCAGTCCTAACAAAATGTTCCACTTCAATTTTACAGGGGTCACTTATTTTATTGCATAGTGGTAGGTGATGCAGATCACCATTGGTTGTTACATGTTTTCTAAATCAAATTGTAAAACTGAGCAGTTTAATTGCATGTATCAAACTGATGGTGTTGAGGGTTGTATCACAGTAAAGGTTAACAGATTTATAATTAATGACAGTGAAGCACAATGGGATCAACAGAAGTGAATTAACAGATGTTGATTTCTATTTGAAAGATAAAATTACACTTCAAAATGACACTTAAAACATAGAGAATTCTTTGGTCTTTACTGTAGCTATTTCTTTTGAGAGTGATAAAGAAAAATCATGGTTGATGTCTATTTTACTGAGGCTTGCATCATTTTTTTTCCAGCTCTTAAGATCCTGTGTACCTTTTCAGTTCAAAGACAGTTCAGTAATTGACTGCTGCATAACAGTTTTCCACAAACTAGCTTTGATAATCATAATTTTTCATTAATCCAGAAGGTGCTCCTATTCTGGTATACTGCCATCCTGTAAGCCCTCTCTTCAAATTAATGAAATCAAGTGGCATGTCAACTGCAATGTCATGCATTTACTAGCAGGATTCTATGTTGCTGCTGCCACTATACAACAGATACCCTCCAACTAATTTCCAGATTGTACTGCTCATTCTGCTCCATAAAACTGAATAAAAAGGGTCAGGAAATTGAGGCTGTAAAACAGATACTCTGTTTATCTTACTGGCAAAATTAGCAGAGAATATAAAGATATACTTAAAGGTACATGGACTCTATGCAAAGCATTATGTATGCAGCTTCAAAAATGTATGTACAATACACATAATATTTTGTGCAGACACAATCTGCTGTAGATGAGGATTTCTACTGTTGAGAGACAGTTTGGATTTGTGCTTATCTACAGGAATAATTTTGTAAGCTATACGGAGTCCTCATAGAACAAATTTTCATAGTTGTGTTTACAGAACATGCTGAGATGTGATCTGAAACATACAGAGAATGTAGTTTTTAAATCAACTGCAGCATGTTAGAAAAGCACACTCTCCTCTTGTGCACAGTGTCACTCCGACTTTGAAAATCACCAAATGAAACAGAATGATTTTGCCATCTGAAAATGAGATTTCCCATCAAAATCTACTTTACACTGATTAAGGTATTCACCATTATATTTGAGCACCTTACAGTTATGTCCATGAAGGGAAATAAAAATCCAAGAATAGCACTTTCACAAGACATTTTAAAGGATTTATCATAGTAAATTAGACCATTAGTCTAGCTAATCCAATATCCTGCCCCTAGCAATGGCCAGGGCTTCAGAACATAGCTTCTGATTTGCACCTGCTCAGAGAAGGAATGTTTCTCAGCTTCATGGTGATTTGTCACACACCTTACAGAATGATCTTGTCCTGTTACACTCAGACACCAAAGTTATTTTGTCTGTTTTTTCAGAAGTTAATAGTCTTCAGTTATTTATTCCCTTTCTGTGTCAACCCAAAGGAGAAGCTGCTCATTCCTATACAATAAATGAAATGAGAAGTAGCATCTTGGTATCTAATTATATCAAGTATGTGTTAATATGCAATTTGAATGACAACTCTCTGCATTAAATCCACTAAAGGCAAGGAAAATGTTTGCTGCAGTGTTGATTGCAGATTGCAGCAGGTGACTCCTGTGAGGAGTGTTTTGTGTTAACTGCAGTCTTGGAACTACCAGCCTCAAGTAGGATAGAAAGTTACTGAGTGACAAGAAAGTGATAGAAAGACCTGATTGACAAAAAGAAATGTGCCAAATATGCCAAAAAGAGAGAAGGCTTCTCCAAAGGCAAGGGAGAGAATACTGTAAATGTCTCCTTTCTTCATAATAATGAAAACCAAACTAGCACCATCATTCAGTTTATTACAATAAAATTTCTATCGCATCTTTCATTTTGGAAGAAATCAATGCAATTTGCAGCTATTTAAAGATGACATGCAGTGCTGTTGGTTGGGCACAGTTTTAGCAGTAGAATTTTTAAATGTCTTGCATTATACAGATAGCAAAGTCAGGGTTATATTATACAGATCGTTCTACTGGAAATGCTAAAAAAATGCACCAAGTCCAGCAATGTTCAACTTTTTACATAATATGTAATAAAAAACCTATCTGATAAACTGCTCCAGTGGTTTATGAGCTACCCTCATAAACAAAGGTGTGAACTGAGTCCTCACCTGGTTTGAGCTTGGGCTTATTTGGGGTTTGGGGTTTTTTTTCCCCTTTTTTAGGAATTTTGCATACACATACATACACGCGCACACACACACACACACACACACATACACATATTCGTTGTGTAAGTAGGAGTGCTTCCATTCTAATTTTTAACAACAGTTAAATACGGACTCGTTTGCTTTTTGCTGTTTCTTCCGTTATTTTCAAACCACACCCAAAAACAAGCACACTTCATAATCCAGAATGAAGATGTCCCCTGACAGGTGGTCTTGCTTTGCTATGAATAGCTTTTAAGTAATTAAGCAAGATAAACTGAAACAGCCTGGAGCAAGCTTCAGATAAGATCCTCTGCTGCGTCATAGCCTAATGAGAAAAATATACTGAAAGCAGTCTTAGCCTACTAATAGTGGCCTGAGTGATAGTCTGACTGTCATCGAGCTTCAGGAAGGCCTGTATCAACCTGTGTAATGAATACATATTCCTTGCTGCATTCCAATCTGCACTTTCATTGGCAAGGATTAAGAAATACTTAGATCTGAGAGACTTTTCGTATTACAAACTCTCTAATAATCTTAAGCAGTATCTTATTACATACAGATGACTACTTAGGCCATCAGTATGAAACAGTTGGTTCTGAAGAAGTCACTGATAGTAGCCAACAACAGATTGCTTCTTTCCTCTTGCCTTCAACAACTAGTAAAGACTTATGCTGGTTTCCTGAGAATTCAGAAGAGGTGGCTGAGACAATGTCTCTCTTTCCTAAAGAACAAAGAAGATGGTTTTGCTTGAGTCCGTATGTTTTCTCTCCCAAAGAAAACAGAGTTCAGCCTTTCACTGTGGGCCATTTAGAATATGCACAATACCCAGTGCCCTAAACAAAAGTCATGGAGGCAAGCCACAATATCTGGAGCTACTGCTTCCTTTTAAAAAACTGGTAGTGTATAATTCTGTCTGACTGATTACAGCCTACACTCTGGCACAAGCAATCCACCCTTCTTTCTGCTGTAGTTTGATGACTGCCTCTTACAAAACAGTATGACCCTAAAGAGTGGATGTAAACCCAACACAGATGGAAAAGTTTTGCAGGATAACCACACTGTGATGCCAAAGAAGATGCTGCATCAGTCACTGACCATGGTGGAGAAAGGGTCTTGAGTCTTTCTGCCTGTAAGAATGGGTAGGGGACACTTGAGGGCTCTCTGGTGAAGACATAAGGAGTGTGCACTTGAGGTATCAACTCAGTGAGGGAGCGCAGTCTTTCTTGTGTCACAAAATTGTAGTGCACTCAGCACCATGTAATGCTAACTGCTGCTGTTATTTCACTAAACCATGGGCAAAGATGGAATGTTCAGAGGAAAGGCTTTTTCTTTCTGAGACCTTTTGAAACACACAGTTTCTGTTAGTCTCTGAAAGGTCAACCAGGACTTGCATAGTATTTCTAATTTTCCTGTTTCCAGTTTGAAACCCAAAATAACGGCAGTGGTTCTATCTTTTTGTGAAAATACTAATAAAATAATAGCCAAAGTTCCCAAAGAATAGCCCACACTCCATTCACAGCCTGCAAAGCCTTGATAACCCATAATGGCATTTTGTAGTTGCAGTGCAGCATTTAACTGAGGTGCTGTATTCCAGGTGAAGTCCTTTATACAGTCGCTGGTATTATTGGCTGTTCATTCAATTGTATTCTAAGAAGGGACAGCCTCCCATGAAAAACTTTCAGGATCATTAAACTAAAAAACATATTGCTGAATGAATGAACTTTACATACGGTTGTAGCAGTCAGCTTCTGGTCACTTCACAAATGTTGAATGCAACGTATACATTTAATATACTGGGAATTCTTTCAGATTCCTTTGGTCTTGTGTAGGTTGTATCACTGAATTTCTGTACTGCATGCCTTGAAGCTTTGTATTGCATCAGTACTGCTGTTAGATAGATTCTGCCTACTTCAAAGTCTCCAGTTTAGAGCTAAAAAAACACCAAAAAAGTTAAGACACCAAAACTGAATACACTCAGCTTCTATCCTTAACCTTTGCAGTTACATTTTTTGTATGGAGGAACATCCCAACTCCCCTTACACTGTTTCTCATGAAGGTAAATAGACACTTGAACAGGATGGATTGAGTTCTTTCAAGATGAGGTGGATATGCAGCTGGCTTTGCTGCAGAGCCCTCTAATGGAGAAGAGAAACACAGGATTTAATCCCACTTTTCACTGACAGAAGTTTGAAGTGGAGCCTTATGCCCAGTTTTGCACATACCAGATAATCTAGACAGGTAGTACTGTAACCTGCTTGGTGGCCAGTAGTTTTCATGTGTCAGGTCCCTTTATGTAGCCCTGTCAGTTCATCTGAATCCTAATTTGTTTTGCTACCTACTGCACAAATTTCATGCCTTGAGACACTTGTATTAGTGTTCTTCAGTCTCAGCCTAAACTATCCTCCTGTTCCTGTTGTAAAGCTCTTAGACAGAAAGGTGCCACATGGTGTGGTGTTCATGTCATGAGACAAAATTCTTGACTTGAATACAGCAGTGTGGCGATGTAAGAAGGAAAAGATCTTATGTTATCCTAGAGCTGTATCTCTTTCTTAAAATAGGTGTGTGTATCTACACCTGCATGTGTGTACACAGACACTTAGACTACAACTCGTAACAGTGCCATACCACTAATCTGCTTGCCTTTTCTTTTCTGTAGCCCAGATGATTTACTGAATGCACTGAATGAGGGTATCAGCCGTGCTGATGTGATCATTACATCAGGAGGTGTATCTATGGGGGAAAAGGTATGCTAAACTTAAGCATTACTTGCTAAAATATATATAAGAATTTCAAGCCAGAATCTGTCATCAGAGCTTCTACTTCCGTATTAATGTTTATTAAAAAGGAATCTTACGGTTTTTTGGAACACTTAAATGTGAATTAATTAAGAAAATAGTCTTCAATGCTATCCTCATTCCCTTTGTTCTTATTACTGTACTATAGTAGACATAGTACAACAGGGAAGATTTTAATTCTTGATGTGAGTGATTTGCAAGTGTGTTTTTATTTAAGAAATTATTAATGTAGTTATGATGAGGAAAGTACTTCATTAATAGCACATGAAGGCAATAGATTTCTATTTATTCTTAGAGCAGGTAAAATGTAGATAAAGTACTTTACAAGTACTTCGAAAAGCAACCTGAGTACATAGATTGCTCTTTCTTACTCAACAGATCTGTTTCCTGTATATGCCAAAGCTATATCTGTTACAAAAATAGTTTTATCACATTGTGCGCCTGATAGTCCTACAGAGGCAATACATACGAGACTCAGTGAGCTGATATATTTGCCTTTTGAATCATTAACAGAATTGTTGATTGAGTTCCTGTTGGTAATCCCTGTGCCAAAACCATCAAAGAAAATAGGGATACACAGATGCTGGTGGGGCGTAGATGAACCTGCAGGACATTTATTAATCATGACTTATGCGAAGGAAAACTCAGATTACTTTTTGATCCCAGGCTGAATCTGTGAGTTTGGCAGGTAAAAGAAACATCTCTCCTTTTATAACTAACAGATACTAGAGACAGTCACGAGGAGATGGCAAACATGGGTGCTGTTTTTGTCAGTTTTCTGAGTAGAAATCATATTGTTGGATACATCATGAAAACGGATAACTAGTTAAGCCAGTGCCAATTACTTTCAATCCCATTATTGTCCTCAGTATTCCTGGAAGAATAAGGGCAAGTGCTGGTCTTTAAACTGAGAATGTGGGAGCACAGTGCAGACACAGGAACACTAGGAAGTGCCTGGACTGCCGAATGGTCTTACAGGCATTTATGCATTCTGGCTAATTTCTCCCCAGTGTGAATTCAAGGCAGCAGCATAAAGTCAAAAGGCTCTGTATTCCACGGATGGTTAGCCCTCTGGTACTGAGCTTTCAATGGTTTTAATGAAGTAACTGAATATCCAGAAATTAAAGAGAAAGTAAAAATGAGGTTAAGGCAATCAATAATTGAAAATTCATGCCTGGCTGAATAAAAAGTTGCTGCTTTCCAAGTATTTGTACGCGCACACACACACACACACACACAAAGAAAGAGATAGAAAAAAAGATGGGAAAAATGCAAGGGAGCTTCAGATTTACTGCTTACAAAGTCTGTCTTCACAGATGACCATTATGTCCTGTGTCTTTAATCTCACTAAACACAGCAGACAGAATATGACATCTTTGAGCACAGCAATTTTCAATAAAGACTAAACAAGTTATTCAACTTTTTTAATAACAGGATCGATTGTGTTTATGCAAAATCATTTAACTTGAACTAATGCACAAGCCACCAACAATTTTTCCTTTCTAAGAAACGTCAGACTATTAAACCCAGCCACTGTGAATTAGAGCAAGTCCCCAAGAAATTACAGTAATTACAGTATCCTGGAAAACTATGATTTCTACAGTACAGTATTGATTTCAGAAGTACTAGGAGATCTCTTAAGTCTGCTGCTAGATAGCTTCCATGGTGAAAGTTAGGTAACTTGATGTTTTTAAGTCTTTACTTTGAACTATAAAGGATTTTTTCCATCTTTGACATAGAGAATATTTTAGTAGTAGGTGTTTGTGGGGTCCTCTAAGATTCTGATGCTGCAGCTGACTTCTAAGTAAACATATTACCATGTCCTCGTGGAGTCAGGTTTGGCACCTAAAATGAGTCTGTTCTTCACCTCTTCTTTTTGAAAATACTTCCTTTCAAATAGTGGAAATTCCCCACTGGACCATAGTACTTTCAGGATATGAAAAGTCTTTTATCTTCACTTGATATTAATGAATTGCTTTGAATGCTTAGATGATGTAAGCCACTTTGATGTTACTTAATCAATTTTCTGTTTTGAATTTAAACAGGACTATCTTAAACAGGTGCTGGATATTGATCTTCATGCACAGATTCACTTTGGCAGAGTTTTTATGAAACCGGGGTAAGAAATATTTCTAATTAGGCAGCACAGATGGAGGCTATATTTGGCCAAATACCCTACACACGTCCTTAAGTAGATTTCAGTTTTCTGAATACATTATAAACTACATAGATATATAGGTAGATATATATGGGAAAAGAAGCAAAATCAGTCCTATTCAGTTTAGTCATCTTTGTAGATGAAATTAACTGGAACAGAGAGATTACTTTTTATCAGTAAGAGATATTTCTCTGATAACTGCTGCAAATCAAGTTTGGGGATTGGGGGAAACCAGCATGGTATAAACATGGCCACAATCTTCACTATGATCACAGAGCTCAGATATTGACATTGTTATGAAATAACTGGGCAATATGAGGACATTTAACCTCTGGTTTGCTTAACGAGCATATCACAGCAAAATCTATGTTGCATTCCTATAAACAAGCAATTTCTTGAGAGAGGTGGAATGACAACTGATTTACAAAGTTTTATCTAATTGGCATATTGAGCATAGTAATTTTGAAGTAAACACAGTATTTTATGTGTTTGGTTTGCCTCAGAAAACTGTTTCAGCATTGCTTTCCTTTGCTGTAGTATTGCTAATTAGTAAGTCTGGAAGAATGTAGAGAAAATGAACGCTACATGTATTGAAAATAGAGAGTTCCCATTCACAATGCAGGAATGGAGGGATGTCTGCAGCTCTGCCTCACGAGCCGTGGAGTGCAGTTTGTTTGCAAGCTATGTTGGCACAGCCCAGTAACACAAGGCCAAGTGCAGCTTTGAGCAATGATTTTTTTTTTAGCCCAGAACTGTTTCCAGGGAGCAGAACAGAAAGTGGGTGTTGTGAAACAGTGGGCTGTGAAAACAGGCAAATACATTCACTGTCTCTGCATACAGTCCAGTAAAGAGCTGCATGTGGGCTTGGTGCTTGTGCTGCTACTACCAGCACCTCCCTTCCAGAAAAGGAACAAGTGAGCGGAAAGCTTGGTTCTCCCAGTGCTGGATGTAGCCCAGGTGTGGAAGTTGCTCACTGCTTCTGCCATCCTGCTACAACCGACGTGGGGAAGTCCTAAAAGTGGGATCCTCACTTCAGCCTCTTGCTGCTGACAAGAATGGATAAACCATTCCTCCACGTGATCTGAAAGTTGCTGAGCTCATGTAAGGTTGTATCTTGTCAAGCAGCACTGCCAGAAGATAGTACTGGAAGACTTCACCAGTGGTGGTGTTGAAATCTCACGAGAATTCAGAGTTTCCAGTAATACAAATTAGTGATTAGATTTTTTTATACCTCAGATTCTGCACTGGTTATAAGATTTGAAGGCTTGGCACACAATTCCCATTATGATAAATCTTAAATAGAAACTTCAAACACTAACTTCCCCTGGTAAAAGAGGATATTGATTAGTCCCAGCAGATACAAAACTAGCTAGTAATGATCAAAGTGGGGCAGATCTCCAAAGTTGCTGCTGGTCAGCAGCTATCATCTTCTGCCCAGGTGATAGTTGTTAGGTCAAGATGAAGCCAAGGAACTCAGCCTAACTATTGCTCCTATAAAGTATCATTTCTAGTGTTTCAAAGAATGATATTAACATAGCTAAATAAAAAACCTTTTTTGAATGGATGAGTCCCTTCTCTTTGCCAGCCACATTCTTGAGCCATCACATTACTGTCCTATTTGTATAACTGTAGTAGCCCTGATAAAAAGTCACTAATGATCACTCAGGAGCAGCTCTGAAAGGCAGAGAACGCTCTTTACTGATAGACCAAGGTCTCACTTGCCTGCAGCGCTGCCTGTGTATCTGAATTTCTTCATCTGCAGACTAGCTAGAGTTTGCTGCTCTGAAATACTGCTCTGCTGTCACTACTGCTGCAGTCAATGGAGCAAGGGAAATTAGAGTCACTAATGTTACAAAAAATTTGGAGAATCTTATACAAAAAACAAATACAGCTCTGTAATTGCATAATTTCAGTATTACTTCTTTGTCAACTGACTTCTAGCATGAAGGCAGGATTTAGAATTTTTATTATTAGTTCATCTACTCTTAGATGTTTCCTCACCAGAAGCAAAATCGTCTACTTAATACTTCATAGCTGGATACGAAGAAAAACTAATTGTTCTGTTACCACAAAGAGAGGATTATACCCCCAATATGGAATAAGCAGCTGGTGCTAATTAACTGCTGAGAGAGATCTTGTTTTGTTTTCTTTTCCAAATGTTTTAAATCATAACCTAATAATGTTCAGTCAAAGTCCAGTGCAGACATTAAATGGCTTTCTTTTTTCCGTAGCCTGCCAACAACTTTTGCAACTCTGGATATTGATGGTGTACGAAAAATAATCTTTGCGCTGCCAGGTAAGATGTTTTGTGGATTACTTTTGTTGCTGGGCACAGATGACAGACGTGAAACAGAATAGTGATATTTCACAGAACCTACCTCTGGTGCTGGCATCCCTAAGGAAGGTACCTGTATGGTTTTCCCAGAAACTTCCAGAAGATAAAGACTTATAGGGATATACAAAGGAGTTTTTTTCTTGCTCCTGTCCTTAGAATTTACTGGTGTACCAGCCTTTCTATTTCTTCCATCCAACAATATCCTTGGGTTTATAAGCAGTACTATACAGGGGTGGCTTTTTCCTACAGCTCCCTCCACCTTCACAGTAAATATTCTGGGCACATAAGTCAATGCATCCGCTTTGAAGTATTGAAAATGGAGACAAAAACGAGGGAGTGCCAAGGAACATGGATTTTTATGTGATTTTTTTATCATGGCCATACAGTAGAACCAGGAGAGGGCAGCATCGCTTCACCTCCTGCGTGCTGCCTCCCCTCGGGAAATCACCGCCTTCAGCATAAACGTTGCTTTGGGCATCTGGCTACAAATCTCTATCCTCCTAAATCAGGAGGAATTTATTTTATTCTTATTGCTATGGCTTCGTGTGGATTTCTGACTACACAAGGAATCCTGTTCTTGGTAAGCTAGTGGTTTCCAGATCTATCTCCAGTGCGTTTTCTCTCTCCTGTTTTAGTTGCTGCAGTATATGTTTTTTCCAGGGGACAGATCAGTGGAACATCTGTCTGATCATAGTGTTTGGTTTAGAACTGTCATCTAGGGATGTCCAGTGTGTAATAAAAGTGGTGTTTGACAAACATTGGTCATACACCTCTCTTGTGAGTCAATGGAAAATGTATAAGGCAGTAGAAATTTCCTCAAAATTTGTACTAAAGCATTTTACCACTCTGTTAGGGAATTGGAAGTTATTTTTCCATAGGTCTTGGAAACCTTAATCATAATCGAAACCCCTGTCAGCTAGGACCTATGCCTGTGCACAATGAACCCTGCCCCAGCCCCAGACAAATCTGGGCATAAGACAAAAGGCAGCAGAGGAACAAAGGCAAATGGTGGGGCCTGAGGAACATGGGGCAGTTCTGGTCAGAGCAGGATTTCAGCACACCATCAGCCAGAGTGTAGCTGTCAACAGGTAAACTTGCCATGTGCCACTCCAGTCTTGAGTGAAATGTTTCCTGTACAGAGCGTGAAAAGCTCTTTAGAGGCCTTCAGAGTGCAATTGCTATAAAAACATGAGATCGCTTTCAGCATCTCAGAGTAAATCAAGAGGGAGTCACCACCAGCTGTGCTGTGTCCTGCAGGCAACCCTGTGTCAGCTGTTGTCACCTGCAATCTCTTTGTTGTTCCCGCACTGAGGAAAATGCAGGGTATCCTGGATCCTCGACCCACCATCATCAAAGCCAGGGTAAGACGCTTGTCCTCTATTTAACAATTCTCTCCAGATGTAGAAGCACAACTTTTTGGGTTCTGAAAGGCTGTCTTATTTGGGGAATCTGAGTCCTAGACTAACTCTGGCAAGCTGAAGGAAGTTCACAGAAAATAGGTACATTCTCAGTCTCTGTTAATGGTAATATTCAGTCCCATAATTTCTAAGAGTTAGATGGCCATCTAATGGAGCAAGATATACAGATGCGGAGGCAGCCATTTACCAATCAGGCAGGAAGGACACTCTCCTGATTAAAAAAACAGTTGTTTTAACCTGTGGTAAAAAATGCAGAGTAATCTGGGAATACCTAAAGAGTTGGATAGTCCTGTATTAGCAATAGAAAATAAAAACTTCAAAGCCTTTCTGCACTTGAGTTATTTATATAAGTAACCCACATGACCCTCACCCTAAGCAGTATAAATCCCTTAAACTATTCGTTTCACTCTTACAAGAAATCATGGATACTGTAACCCTGTTTAATATACATTCAAGGCATGTTATTATAATGTATTATTCTAATTTTTATTCAAATAAAGTACCAAGGAACACATTACCTTTTATAGTTTTCCAAGCGTTCTACTGGTTATCCCATGTCTCTCTTTTGCACTTGCTCGGGCATCCAGATTTTTCTTTATCTCAGGCTAAAATACTCTAAAACAGACAGCAATTTGTGACCCTCACTTCTGCATGAGTTTTCCAATGTGTTCCATTACATTCCCCTCTGAGCTGTCACTGGTGTGTCTTTTCATTTCAAAGATTGGCCATTTCCCATTTGTCAGAGCTAGCAGGATTTTGAATTCAAATAAGATTTTTATCTTTATGCAGTGTAATCCAGAGACCAGAAACAATAAAGCTATTTTTCTGAGAAATACTAACACGAACACTCCCAGGAAAGGAACAAATATGGAATATTCCACTTAATGCATGCGGACTCCACCATACTCTTTGATACACAACTGTAATATTAAATGTCTTAATATGCTTAAATACTGCAGTCTTCTACAGCTTTTGATCTTGCACTAGATGCCATCTGACCTCAAAATGCAAGTTTTGAAAAAGACTGTTTTTAAGGAAAAACAATTGAGCAGATCATTCTGTTATCTTGGCGCAATCTGAATGGATGACATTTTCATCCTTTCTTTGCTTCTTCTACAGTTATCATGTGATGTAAAATTGGACCCCCGTCCAGAGTATCACCGGTGCATACTGACTTGGCATCATCAAGAACCACTACCTTGGGCACAGAGTACAGGTGAGTGCCCAGTCACAGACTGACAGACAGACTCACTCAGGTCCTTGCCGTCCTACATATATG